AAAATTAGAAGTCCCTAACTATCATGATTCTTGAGTTACAGGGGGGGGGAGGGGCGCTACTTTTGAGGAGTACTGTATTTTAAATCACATTAGATCGTCGACGTGGTTTTGTATTATCGTACTCGAACCATCTAATATTAGCTAGAATATTGAGAATAAATATTAGTTTTTAATAAACAGTGTAACTCTTGATAAAAATTGTTTTTTCTTTTGTTTAGAATGATAGTGCTGTCTAATATATTCAATACTGACAAATTTCAATTCGTTTTCAAACAATTGTTTTAAACCATAACCGTGAAACGAATTGACAATCGTTCGGAAGGAAATAAAAATGAATAATTCATTATCCGCCATGACATCATCATCGTCATCGTTGAAATATATACTCAGTGATAATACTGAACAGAATGGACCAACAACATATACATCGTGTATGAAAACAGGAGCATCAATATCTGATTCTACCGATGAAACGAATAATAAAAACAGTAAATTAACAGTGTCTTCATCTGATTTAATTTCGACCAATACCGATTTAATTGAATTGGACAAATTGCCTATAGCAGATTTAAACAATAATAACAATCTAACGATTACAACGCTTAATCACATTGAACAAAACAAACAAATGGATAAAGTACCACTCCATTCAAATCAAGGTAATTCACTTAACGTATCATTTTTCCAGAATTTGAATTTAAACAATTTTGTCATATACTCTCTCAATAATTGCTTAATTTATAACGAAATTTATGTTTTACTTTATCAAGCAAAAAGTCGAGAAAATAGAATCATTTATTTTTTCAACATGTGATCGAGAGAATTCATGAAAAGGGTTTTTAGTTTCACGCTTATTGTTTACGGAAGATCATTTGGTACACTTCAATAGTGAACCGAGATTATCTTTACAAATTACATTGGATTGTTGATCAGCTTTTATACAAATATTTTAAAAAGTATTTAATCACCCGCTGTTTTGAAATATATAACTGAATGAATATTTCATGAACTGATTTGTCTATACATATACATAGACAGTACAACTCTTTTTATATTATTTTCTATTTTAATAATGACTATAATAATGTATACTTTACTCTGGTTCAAAAGCCTCTCATTATACTCATAGAAAGTTATTGTAATTATCCTTGATATAAGACATATTTTCCTTCCGGTTATTTGTACGAATACAATAGATATTTGTTAATGAATGAGCGCAATATTGCACACAATGACTTTCAAAATGGTTAGCCAAAGAACAAGCTAAAAAACTGCGAAAAATAGACATTTCGATTCTTATAGTCTAATGCTTGTTTTGTCTAGTTGGATGGTAAAACTATCATTCAAAGATTAGACTTTCTTGTGTGCTTCTATACACCATATATTTTTTGAAAAGCTAAGTCGCGAAAAGAAATAATGGCGAACGATACTCTCCACAAGACACCGTTCGGCTCACATCGGCCCAACAGTTATTTTTAGATCTCTGGAAGATAATTCACAAATCGAAAAATCCTGTTTGCGCCTCTCATGAGCTCATCACGATGTCTTACATCAACTGCATTCAACTTACGAAAGGCTCTGGACTGCCGAAAACTAGCAACATCGGCTGAAAAACAGCAAAAAATGTCTTGAAAACTCTTCGCAAATTGAATGCGGTTTAATGAAAAAATCTTGTGGAGAATCCAAAGAGGTTTCATTTTCTTACAGAAACATGTTCTCTCTATAATTAAGTTTCTTACAAAAGCTTTTAATCGAACACAGAGGCTTGGTTTAGCAGAAGTCTAGTTTTCAGCTGTTTTGATGGAGTTTCCATATGCACACCTGGCCAGAAACTCTTTCTGGTATTCAAAATCACGGTCGACAAAAAAATCTAAATATAATCGATTAACGGTAATTTTGAGAGTCATTGCGTTCATTTATTAACGAATACCTATTGTATTCGAACAAATAAGCGGAAGGAAAATATGTCCTATTATCAAAGGGTATTACAATGAATAACTTCTGATAAAAGTACTAATGAGTAGGGCCATGACAGTATCTGATAAGGTCCGGAGATTTCTTCTAGCGGCTGAAAGAGAAAGGAAGAACACTTAGTAGTTATTTTGAAAATTATCATTCATTGTATAGAGTGGTGAGAGCAAAACAACAGAATCTTGAGATATCGAATTTTTCGATGGTACAGGTAGCGAAGGGGATTTCTTGTAAATTAACACACACATAAAATATCTGACAGTTGAGCTAATGAATATGATAACTAACAAAGATGTATTAAAAACAGAGGGCTTGTCGACATCAACTACAGATGATGAAGGGACACGTCGTCGGATCAATTTATCTCTGTCTACAGTTTTTGTGATGACATGAGCTTTCAGCAAGAGTAAAACAGGCTTGTCGAACGTTTTCAAACTGTTCGAGATGCTGATTGGCACAGTCACTAGCAATCCATGCATACCGGCTAAATTATTGTCTTCGGTGGAATTTCGAGCCATTTGCACCATGGGCTTTCTTGTAAGTTTCTTCGTCTCGTTGTTCTGGTCAAGAGTCCGAAAGGCAGAGACGAGTCCGAGGTAAGAGGCTTCGAGTCCAGGTCCGAGTCGCATCAAAAATTGACTCGAGTCACCTCGAGTCATTTTCTAGAGGTAAACTTCCTCTGGATTCATTTTCCAAGAAAAGCTTGCAGTTCTATTTTCTATCTCTTGTTAGCCTCGTCCTTTTCTAGGTCTTCAATTTTTTCATGTGACGCGATGTTCTACTTAGGATATTCTCAAATCTGTTTCTCTCTTCTGGTATATAGCAAATATAATAAACACCGTCATAATAATCCAAAAAGAAAAGTGAATCGAGTCAGTTTATCAAGTTTATCGTGTCTTTCGCCTCTAGTCCAGTTTAAGTCCAAGTCATAGAAAAATGCGACTTGAGTCCGTCCAAGTCGTGACTCGGATTCGCCCATCGCTTCTGAAGGGAGAAGACACTTTTTCGGAGTACCTGATTGTTATAAGTGATAACGACGTTTTTCGGGTGAAACATTTTTTCTTGTATCTCTAGATGAAGAGAAAAGACTTTTAGAAAAAGCTGGAAGAAAAGGTGCACTTGACTTACCGTTAGTGATTGGACCAGAGGCTGAGACAGAAATAAATTGGCTCGACGATGTGTGCCTTCATCACCTGTAGTTGGTGTTGACAAGCCCTTTGTTTTCAATACATCTTTGTTAGTTATCATATTCATCCAACTGCCAGATATTTCATGCGTGTTAATTTAGTTTAATTAGTTTAAAATCCCCTTCACTACCTATATCATCGAAAAATTCGATATCTCAAGATCTTTAGGCTGAAAGTTTTGGTACAGGTACCCACTGCTCAGGTCTATTTGTGAAAAAGTTTTGGTTCCTCAACGCATTACAGATGGAGCCAAAGAAAAAAAATCGGTAAAACATTCGTTTTTTTTATGAAGAGGGTAAAAGCTCGATATCTCGACAAGAAAGGACGATGGGCATGAAATATTTTCAGCTTTTTCTAGTTTTATCAAGGTCTTCATGTAGCCAAAAATTGAGGTCAAACTTGATCCGACAGTTGGAAACCTTCTGTCGTAAGTTCATTCCTCAACCATCTATTTTCAACTTTATATAGAAGCGTGAGAATTCAACCTTCAGGTTTATAGAAACGATAAGTGTTTAACTGTTTAGAATTTGACGACAAATTATCATCACCTAACCATCACGTATTGAACTCCATTAATTATTCGCCGATGAACAATGATGAAACCACACCGATCATTTTGAACAAGAGAAAAGAAAGAAAAACTAAGTCTGGAAAACATTTGACAAAAGCAAATTCACCAACATCTGGCAACTATACTGCTTCTGCTACTGATCATAACAACATATCCATTAATACAGATAAAAATTTAAAACCATTGGACTTACAACGACTTTCATCATCGATGCCTTCAGCTACCAAAAATTCATCATTTTCTTTTTCTTCTTCCTCCTCCTTTCATCCTTCGTCTCCTTCCGTTTGTTCTTCTTCTATTTCCTTATTACCTACAAAGATACTAACAGTTCATACAGCATCAACCACAACGACAACATTTTCATCACCACTAACATTGCGTCCATCGTACACTGCAACACCTACGAAAATCAGTCCTCTAATTGACGAAAACGAGCAAAATCTGAAACAACAGCGATCTGTCTCGGATCCAAACAAACCACCACTTGATTCATCCACAATTAAACAACGACGACGTACGCATGGTTCACCCCTCTCGCTCGACAATCTAATCCCAATTAGACCTAAAGAAATCACTTTACGTGTACCATATAGAGAAATCGATGAAACATTAGATAAAACTTTGATAAAGCCGCACAATTCAATAGCGATTATTAAAGAAAACAGTTCATATCCAATCGATGACTGCACCTATGATGATGACCCAATAACACCACAATATTCTCCGAAACGAAAACAAGAAATATCCCATTCTCAAATACCTTATCAACGAAGGTACACTGAAATATCTCGAGGGAATGATTACGGCGAAGACTATGACGATGAAGAACTACAACAACAGCAGTCCAACACAACCCGAATAAAATTAAGTTTACCTAATGACATTCGTGATTTAACTTCCCATCGTCATTTCTTTTATCCAAATCAACATTCATATTCACATCATTCGCACCCTCGAACTCGTTCTCGAAAACCTCGTCCCCCCTCTGCTTCAGGTGAATTTACTTTACCGACTTATCCTCCTATAACAGTAACAATCGAACCAAACAGTGAAACAACATCGTTATGTCGTGATTCTTTATCTGCTGGCGGCAGTTTGCCTCATGTATGTGACGAGAATTGTGCTATGCTAGGTGAAGATGCCGGCTGTCCATATCAGTTATCAACAGGATTAGACTCTTTAAAAGGTGCTGCTGGTGGATCGTATTCAGGTTATCTAACAAAATATTTTATGGATCTTTTGAAACCATCGGATAATAAATTGGCCATGAAATTGTTTGGATCGAAGAAAGGTGTGTTAAAAGAACGATTAAGACAGCAAAGAGCAGGCCATTGTATTATTCATCCATGCAGCAATTTTCGGTATGTAACTTCTTTTTTTTATATGCCAGTCATTTATCATAATGGAAACTACTTAACGTATTCTTTTAAAGGAATAATGGATTTTGCTGTACTTCTTTCAAAAAAACGAAATTATACACAAAAAAATTCCAGCTTTTATATATTTCATAGTGGTGTGAAGTCAAATGTATACGCACGCATCCTAATATGTAAAATGCTTTTTTATTACTAAAACATGTTAAACCACAATAAACTAGGCATGCTCCAGGTATATAACTAACATCTGAGCATATAGGAAAATTATATAACGCAGTTATTAACAGTCACCTCGATTTGTAAAACGTTTCACTTTGCAAAGAAATGCTTGCTTTGTGAATTTATTGAAAGAGAAAAAGTGTAAAATTAAGTATGACACAAATATATCAATTTTGTACGACGAGAAATATGAGCACATGAATTGCAGTAAACTGCAAAACTAAATCCGCTGTTCTATATCTATATTCTGTACGTCGATTAAAGTTGTGTAATCGACTTGGTTCGTGTCGTTTTAGCAACGCGTTAAGAAAACCTCTATTTTATCCCCTGTTTTTTTTTTGTTCAGTGCAAATAGATAGAGCAATATTACTCTGCAAAATGAACCGTTCCGCAGCTCGAGATGATTCTTAATAAGCGCGTTTTAATAATTATTCTGGATGCCTCGAAAAACAGTAGGTATGCCTTGAAATAACTGATGCATACTAAAATAAACATACGACTAAGCTGATAATTCAACAAGTGTTTTTTGCTAATCACAACAGAATTGCGAATCTTTTTGTTTAACTTAATGTTATGGTGGGAAAATTTTTGAAAAATAGATATTTTTAAATATAGATTGCACTGTGAATAACAGATTCAATCTCAATCAGCTTTGTAATACAGATTTATGTCTGTATTGTTCAACTTTTGCTAGTAAATAACAACAGCAACAAATTTAACTCTCTCTAGAGGTCAATTTGTCGCCCGTCATAATATTCATTGACTTAGAATGATGACAGAACTAGACATTACTTGAATCTAGGAAGTAAACTTTATTCCAGTAACATGTCAAATTATTCTGTGAGAAGAAAATCCGTATGAGATATTTTATTCTGTTTCTTCCTCTCTGTAATATAAAAAGTATGATCTAATTACATGCAACATTTGTGAATTAAAAAAAGCGATATAATACTTAATGTTAACGAGATATCGTGAACATGAAAACCGCTTCATCGCATTTGTTGCTATTAAAATTTTTATCAATTACAAGCCTGTTGAGGCGTTCATTTTTAGTAGTTGGGCTGTTCTTCTGAAGTCTGTGAATGTTATAATACATAGAACTAGAATGCTTGAACCTATTCACATCATTATTCGCTAATATTACCAGGAATGTTGTCTAAATAAATAAAAATGTAAATAAATAATTAGAGGCAAAACATCATGTTTTAAATACTATCAATCAGTCGTAGAAAGAAACCCTTTCTTTTCTTCTATACATGAGAAAACGATTATTCTGCAACTGATCTAGATATCTGTTCACCATTTTTAATGATGTGTTTATGTAAGAATAATATATTATTTTCAGCAAAAAAAAAAGAAAAAGAAAAATGATGGTGACATTTTTCCTGTTTCGTTTCTCATTGTCCGTTTGGTTTTCTTATGTATTCGTCTACTATTCACTGTCAAAGATGTATATCAATGCCGTAATGTTAGTCACTTAATTGACATAATGGATTTCAAGAATAAGAAAAAAAGTCTCAAAGGAACTCCTATCAATAATCATCAAAAACTTTCCGATGGTAAAATTAATGAAAGATCAAATACCCGTAATCATGCATAGAATGACAAATGAGACTGAAAATTTGAGGCATTACTATCTTTCGTTTATAATTAGAAATTAGAAATCCATTATGACTTGAGTATAAATATATGACTTTTAAACAGTTCGGCATCGATATTGATTGATTCTCTCTAGAAATTCTCTATAAAAGGTTACTAATATTAGTTAAAGTCTGAGTTTGTTAACCTTAACCATTACTGAAATATAGTCGAAACCGATTTCATAGAAGAATATGCTACTTGTCAAAACAATGGCTATTGTCTGTTCACTGTTTTTTCAAAAAAAACCTATTAAGCTATTGACTATAAAACTATTCTATATGCATCTTTGACTAATGTATTCTTGCTATGGGAATTGATAATCATTGATAGTATTCATTTGTTTAAGACGTCAACCGACGTTTGAGCGCCCGACATTTGAGCGCCGACATTTGAGCGCCGACATTTGAGCTCCCGACACTTGAGCGCCCGACACTTGAGCGACCCCGACATTTGAGCGACCGACGTTTGAGCGACTCCGACATTAGACACTTTTCAATATGACTTTTTGCCGATCAGGAAAGTCGAATGATTATTCACTTCGATAACGATGATCAGAACAATTTTTTTGTC